TTGGGCGTCAGGAGGCCACGGCGCGGGACAATCGAGCGCGGGCACAGGCCATCCAGGAGCTACGCAAGGACGACCCCGACCTGCTGCGCCCGCGCCCGTGCCCGGGTCGGACGCACTGGAGCCCTGGAAGCAGTGGCAGCGCCTGCTCGACCAGCTCGAGGCGGACGGCGTCGAGCGCGGCGTCTGGGCGTGCTGCCGTCGCGAGCCCCTGCGCTGGCGAGCGCCGCTGCGCCCCGACGGCGACCCCGAGCCGTGCTGCGTGCCGCTGCTGCCGTCGGTCGCTGGGCGCCGCCGAAGGCGGCGTCTGGAAGCTGGGCGAGATGTGCGAGGCGACGCGGCGCCTGCGGTGCGCCGAGGCGGCGCAGACGGAGGGCGCTGCTGGCGCCGCGGTGCACGGCAGCGTGCTCCTTCGCCTGGCCTCGGATTTCCTCTGCGCGCAGTGCCGTCGGGATGTCGTTCGCGAGCGCGCTGGGGGGGTTGGCCTTTCCGACGGGGACGTCGCTGGGTGGTGGAAGAGTTTGCAGTTCGCGCCGCAGAACGCGCGGGGGCCCGTCGCGCGCGCGGCGGTGGAAGCTGAGCGCGCCCGCGCGCGGCTGCGGCCAGGTGCGCGGCAGCGACGGCGCAGGAACAGTTCTCGGAGTTCTGCCGTCTCCTGCGCCAGCCGTGCTTCGACGAGAACGTCTGCGCCGAGCACGTGGCCCGCGTGCAGCGTGGCGCTCTTGAAGCTTTGGTTCCAGATCACAGGGCCAGACGGGAGCAGGCTGGCGCCGTGGCCGCGCGGGTTCGGCATCGCGAGGTCTGGGGCTGTTAGCGGCGCGTGGATCTCCGAGGCCGTGGAGTCGGGGTTCGCCGAGGCCTTCCCCTGTGGGCGGCGCGGCGACTGCGCGGGCGAGCCCGGCAACGTGCTGGCGGAGCTGTGGCTGTTGCGGGCCTGGTGCCGCGCGCGCGGCGTCGCTCGCATGGGCGACGCCGTGGCTGCTCGGCTCCTGCGCCTCGAATGCCAGGCGACGTCGCGTGCAGGTTGGAGGTCGCGGGGGGCGCGCGGCCGCCGGTGTCCTCCGCGGACATGAAGCCGCAGGCGATCCCCGACTGGCCCGTTTGGTTGCAGCTTCTCAAGCAGAGGCCGGAGGCTGCGCGGGGGGTGGCGAGCTGGGCGCGCCAGGGGCGGGCGAGTGTGGGCTTGGCGCATTGGGACCTGGGCGAGCAGCGCTTGGTCGCCGCGCTCGAGAGGGGCGCTGCGGCCGCGGAGGAGCACGGCGGAGTTCTGACCCGTCTTTACGAGTCCTGCGTCCGATGCGGCGTCTGGTTCGACGCGTTCGCTGGTCGGCGCAACCTGGACCGCGACGGAGATTTCCGGGAAGCGCAACTGGCGCAGAGGGTTGCGGGGGTCGCGCAGAAGCACTCGCGGGACGCCCGCGATCCCTTGGGGCGGCCGCCGCCGCGCGTTCGGGCAGGGGCCGCGGGCGACAAACTGCCGCTGACAGTCCGGGACGAGCTCCGCCGGAGACGAGGGCCCCTGCAAGGTTCAACGAGGCCCCCCCCCCTGCCCGCGGCTGCCGTGGAACCCCGACCAGCCGGGGCCCGCCCAGCGGATGCGCACAGCTGCGGAGCGGGCTCCCCGCGACAGCAGCTGACTCAACGCCCAGTCTGAGGCGCGGGGGCCTCAGGGACCAACCGCCGACGCCCCCGTCCGCTTGCGCTCCCCGGCGCGCGTGGGGGGGCGCGCCCAGGCGCGCAGCAGGGCCGGGGCTCTTCGAGGGGGGCGCGGCCCTGTCGCCCAGGACGCCCCTGCCCTGGACGCCCCTGGCTCGCCTGACGGCGCTGAGGAGACTGGTGCGTCTGCCCCTTCCCCGCGGGCGAACCAGGGCGCGCTCGATCCCCGGCGCGTAGGGCATTGGGGCAACGCGCGCCAGCGCGCCCCTGCTGCCAGGATAGACTCGCCCGTTTCTAGGCGACGGTGGCGGGCCTGGGGTCGCGCCGCTGCCGCGTGTCCTCATGCCTAACCCCAGCGGCGCCGTGCTGCTTCTCCTCGCGGCGGGCAGCCCCTGTCAGAACTCTTTTCACGACTGGGCGTTTTCAGAGCTACACGCGCCTGCTTGTGCCTGAATCTAGTCGTTAGTGGACTCCCCCTAGCGGGCTGGTCAGTCCAACGCCTGCAGCCTGACCTTGGTGCGCGCGCCATGTGCGAGATCGTGGATCCAGTGCGGGTGCCTTTCGAATCGGCCCTTCTCCACGGGCCCGGGGTCCAGAATGGCCAGCGGATGTCCAATTTTGACGCTCATCAGTGGGGCCGCCCACCCCGAATGCTAATGTGGTTTGAAACCTCTTGCCCATCCACGCGGCCAACTGCTCGCTCCCCAGTGGCTCCAGCCCCCCCCCATGAGAAACTCAGTAAGAAATTCAATGGCAGGGGCTCCCGCCAACGCCGCCCCGATCCCGAAGGGACGACGATGAGGAAATCCTGCCGAGCTCTATTCGAAGAACGAAATCCTTCTGGGTGCGGTCCCTTTGCTGAAGTGCGAATCCAAGCCGCACGGAGGCGATCCCCCACCCCCGTAGGCTTGTCTGTCGCTTCGGGTTCGTAGTTTTGGATTGAGCTTGATGCCCCTTGTGACTGCTGCAGTTCACTTGAGCGTGTCGCGTGTTTGCTTGAGCGTGTCTCTAACTGTGGGAGGGTGTTGCTCATGCTTGCCTTGTTGGTGTGTTCGGCCAGTGCGGTGGCCAGCTCTGGTGACGTCCGCGCGTATTGCTTTTCGTGCCAGCGTCAGCCAATGAATGACAAGCCCGACGGCCTGCTGCCCGACTGAAACCAGCTCTTCTTTGCTAAATGTCGCGCGTTGCCGCCATCGCTTGCCCTAGGCAGCGCCTCTAGTTTTGGGAAGCGCGGGGATGCAGGAGTTCTTGGCCTGGTTCCACGCTGTGTCAGTGGCGCCAGGTGGACGTTACGATTTCTTTCCGCGGCGTTTGGCCCCGCTTGTGGTGGCAGCAGTGGGGGCGGCTGAACAGTGGCAGTTCTTCATGTGGTGCTGCTCGCCACCACCCTTTGCCACCCTCCACCACCACGCCATTACGCGAAGCCAACATTAAATTCATGTTGAAAACAACTTCAGTCCCTGCATGGCACATTTTTTGCTCAACGCGCTTGATGCGGACCAACGGGAACCTTCGGCGCAAAGGGACTGGCCGAACATTAATCCCGCGTTCGGAAAAGAGTCGCTGCATCTTTACTGAGCTTTACTGGCTGGAGCAATCCCCACGACTCCAGGAACCAGAAGGCGTTTGAAGGAGTTCCAAGGGATAGTATTGGCAGTGCTATTCATGTCCCCCCTCGGGCTCTCTTGGGCCGTTGTGAGGCCAGCATGGGCCGCCATGGGGCCATTTTGGGCCGTCTTGGCAGGCTTGGTTGTTTGCCTCTTCCGTCTTGCAAGCTCGGGGGCGCGGCCTTTTTTAATAGGGAGGTGCTTTCGGAAGGGCTGACCCGTGGTTTTTTGTTTTACAAAGGACAGTGGTTTCGGGAACGTGGGTCTATGCTTTTGTTCACGAGGGATCATGCCTAGGGAAGTGGGGCGATGCATGAGAACTCTGCTTCGAGACGGGGGTCCTTCAGTGTTATACAAGCCCTGCCAGACACCATGTGGCCTTCTACTGCGCTTCAATGTGCCCGTGGACGCGCTGACGGGTATCCGATGTTGTTTCCGCAGTTTTTTGCAGAGTTTTCTGAGTCGTTCATATCAAGGTTTGCTTTGGAAATTGGTGGTTAGCTCCAGACACCCGCACACAGTTGGGATTTGGAAGGGCATGCTCTTGGACGTCGCTTGTTAATCATGGGTCTTGGCGCAGTCATTCTCGGAACATGGAGATCTAGTATCGCTCGCGAATCTGTCGTGTCGCAACAATGGGGCCCTCGCCTGGGACAGTCCCCCATGGGATGCCAACGCAGTTTTCGAGATCGTCTCGGAGCTTTCTTGGAGGACCTCCAAGACATCCGACCACGCGAACTATAATACACCAGTGCCTTTTTAACGCATGTTTGTGAAATCTCAGGGGTTTCGTTTGAGCTGCCCTTCAAAACTGACTTCGAACGGGTCTTCGACAATAATTCTTTCGTTGAGTACCGATGTTTTTAATTCTTACGGGTGTTCGCCTGTCTTCGGTCATTTCTAGATGACTGGGGACCAACCGTTTTCCAACATTTTTGTCTTCAGTCAGAGGTTCGGCCAACGGCTGCGTTTCGACATCGGGTTCGGTTGAAGCACGACATGCACTCCGTCTCATCCAGATAACTCCGGGGCCCGCCTACAGCAGCACTCGCTGGGTCGCACTTGCCTGTTGAGGTTCCTCTCCCACATACTTCTTTCCTTAATGTTATCCTCCCCACTTCCCCTTCAGTCATCCTCGATCGTCGTTGCCAGCCGTCGCTGGAGCTCCCTTCGGAGTAGCAGGAGAATGTCCAAGGGACGTCTTGGCAATCCCCTGGGGGTACGATCTGGGTTGTCCATACTTGTGCCCTTGGCGTCGTTCTGAGAGCGTGTGTTCGTAGTTGTCCCCTGTGAACGCTCGGGGAGCTAGCCTGGTCACGCAACTCATGTCAATAACCTTTTTTGTCACGCGCGAGGTCTGCCCCAACAAGGGGGAGGCGGTGGACGCCGAATGTTTATCAATGCGGCATAGTTCAGACCAGGTCGATGCAGTCATAGCTTTTTGTTTTTCACTCCCGTGAGTATATATCTCCCAGCGTTGGAAACGATTGTGTGAGGCAGCGACGCGTCCTGAAGTGGTATGCCGTTTCGCTTTCTTTGTGATTCTGGGACATGCTCCGCATTTGCGATGCTGTGATTCTGTACGCAGTGATGTGCGCTTCTATTATGCATGCGCATTGATGTATGTTGTTTTGAGGTGTGTCGTGTTCACGTTTTTTGAGTATATTCGTGTAGTCTGCGCTGCTGGTCGTGGATTGTGTATGTACCATGACTTGATAACCATGCGTCTTCAACTCGCGCAGCAATTTGGGTTAGGTAGCTTTTCAGGCTGGTAGAAGACTGCGTGCACAGGAGAGCTCATTTTTGCCTGTTTGTCGTATTGCCTTCGCGATCCAGCTCGTATTTTCAGTGTAGACTTTGGGCTGCATTGCTTGAGTTGCAGCTGCTACATACTTGTTTGTGATCCTGTCTTACCAATCGTCTTTTCCTTTCACGCTCTGGTTGTCTCTCTGCCATACCTGTCGATTTGGCGCAAACGAGTTTGCTCTAACTTTGTTGCACACTCCATGTGGGGCAGAGCTCGCTATGGATTCCATTGATTCGTCGGTCTCTCTTGCATCCTGTGTGCCATCGCTTCTTCCACTTGGTTCTCGACCATTCACCGTTTGACTGTTCTTTCTTCATGTCCTCGCTGCATTCAGTGTCGTGTTTGTCTTTGGACCGGATTGGCGTATCTACTTATCATCATAAGAACCTCATCTTTGATCTAGATCGTTGTTTAGGCACCTTCCCTGTCATCACCACCTCAGTATTGCCTTGCTGGTTGTATTACCTTCGCGTTATGTTCACGTATTTGTAGATGCATAAACTGTTACGCACAGTAATCTACACAGTCGTGTATGTGTGCTATATATATATATATATCTACGTATACGATTTGACATGTACTTCCAACTCGCGCTTCCTTTATGATTCATCATCTTTCTCAGGGTTGTCGCGGCAGCTTTTCCGGATGCTGCTGGCCAATTGCCCGTCACCTGTCATTTAGAGAGTATGAAGTCTCTTGGACGTTTGCGAGCGAGTTGTGAGGAAGTCTGGATCGGAAGCATCGTTTTTAGGTGAATTGTGCGGAAGTGCCGGGCAGGAGCCATTCTTTCCCCGAGTCAATCGCAAGACCCTCTCAGGACCCTCTTGGGAGCCCCTCGGGACCCTCTCAGGAGCGTCGCAGTGGAGGATGATCGAGGATTCGAGCAGGAGGAGTAGGAGGATCGAGGGAGGCCGATGAGGATGAGCTAGGGCCGAGGAGGAGAAGGAAGAGGAAGAGGAGGATTTAGGAGGGGAGAAGGATCGAGGATCGAGGATCGAGGAGGATCGAGGATGAATAGGAGCGAGGATGAGAAGCAGAAGGATCGTGGAGGAGGGGGAGGAGGAGGATCGATGATCGAAGAGGACCGATGGGGGATGATAGTCACGGAGGAGGAAGATGAGACTAAGGAGGATAAGGGGGAGGAGGAGGGGCGAGGACGGAGCAGACGGAGGAGGACGAGAGGAGGATGAGGAGGAGGAGAGGGAGGAGGAGGAAGGAGGAAGAAGGAAGGACGGAGGGGAGGAAGGAGGAAGCATGAATGAGGAGGAGGAGGTCCGCAGATCGAGGTCGAGGCGAAGGAGGAGGAGGATAGGGAGAATCGAGGAGGAGGACGGGTGATGGCCGACGCTCGAGGACGATCTTGGCAACGGAGGAGGAGGAGGAGGAGGAGGAGGAGGAGGGGAATCCAGGATGTGGATGAGGAGAATAGAGCGAGGGGGAGGAGGAGGTTCGAAGATCGAGGACCGAGTATCTAAAAGGATTGGGGAGGGGAACGGTCGAGAAGGAGGAGGTGGAGGAGGAGGATGATGTCGGGGATGGCGGATCGAGGACCGAGGAGGAGAATTATGCAGGATGGTCGATAATCGAGGATCGATGAGGTTCGAGGATGACCGAGGAGAAGCGAGGAGGAGGATGTTAATCGAGAAAGAGGAGGATGTGGAGGATGAACGATAGTTTATGATCGAATGGGATTGAGGATGAGGATGAGGAGCGAGGATAAGGATCGAGGATCCAAGATCGAGACGGACGTCGGAGGACGAGAGGGGTCGGATGAGGGCCCATAACTGCTATAATGTATGGAGCTTTGCTGGGATCATCATTTTTGTAGGTTTTGTAGATTTTTATGTTTGTGTGTGTGCACACACACACATGTGTGTGTGTGTGTCTGTGTGTGTGTGTGTGTCGTCTCTGTGGTTGTGTGTGTGTGTCGTTGTGTGTGTGTGTGTGTGTGTGTGTGTGTGCGCTCGCGTGCCCTGCCGCCGCCTGGCCCTGCTCTGCGCGGGCCCGGCTTCCTCTCCCCCCCGCCCGCGCCGGGGGCTACCTCTCGCCCTCTCACGTGCACTGCGGCTGAATTTGCATCTTGTGTGTCCCACGAATGCCACATCGCCCGAGCAGCACCTCTGCCCAGCCGCCGACGTAAAAAGTGTGAGCGCTCGCGCCTGCGTGTATGTGTATGTGTGAGAGTGTGTGTGTGTGTGCGTGCGTGTGGGTGTCTTTTTGGGTGTGTGCGCTTTTGTGTGTGTGTGTGTGTTTGTGTGCAAACTTTTCATACATGTGTGTGTGTGTATGTTCACATGCTTATGTATGTTTAGACACGTATGCATCTATGCATGCATGCATGTATGTGTGTCCGTAGGGCGATATGCATGTATGTATGTACGTATGTATGCGCACACATTCATATGCATACTGTATATTTGTGTATGCATATACATATTCATACCGCTGGCTGCGGCCAGTCCCGCCACCGTGGCAGCCCAGCATTCTGAGTGGCGAGTTTTTCGAGGGGGCACGGAATGCCGTGACACATGAGCCCGGTCTTGCTGGGAGTACAGGCAGTTCAGCTTACGCCGCGCTATATATGTACAGTTGGTTGCGCTTGCGTTGCTTCCTTCTTTTCCTGCCCTCCCTCTCCCCCCCTCCTCGTGATGAGTTTGTGTTTGCGTTGGGGGGGCGCAGCAGCATTTTCGCAGTTTCATCGTTGTTGGCCCCCGGGGTCGCTATGAGACAGCCGGTGTTGTAGAACCCATCCTCAGGTCTAGCGCCCGCGCCCGACAGCGCCAGCGACAACACAAAACAAGCACCCGACCTCCATCCTTGTAGTTGTGGAAAGTTTGTAAGACGGATGTGCGTGGTAACACAGCGAGAACCACATTTTGCAAACCACCCGTCCTGTTTTCAGTGTAGCACGTGTACGTTCCGAGCGTCAGGGCCGTGAGCGGACAAAAGTCTCACGAGAGACGCCAGGCCCACCCTACTGACACGTCTGGTGGTGCAGCGAGGACTATTCAAGGTAGATGGACGCACGAGCAGGAAGAAAAGGAGAAGGAGGAGGAGGTGGAGGAATGCAGACTGGGGTGAAAGGTGGAAGTCGGGCGGGGCTGGGACATATATATATATATATATATATATATATATCCGTTCCAGAGCGTTCTGAAACGCTCCCAGAGCATTCTGGAGCGCTCTGAGAAGGTGTCGGCGCCCGATACCGCCTCCAGAGTCGCTGGATCTCAGAGATTTCCGATTTATCCTCATCCGACTTCGTCCTCGTCCTGTCTTCGTGTTAGGAAGGAGGCGGGGAAGGCCCTGTTCGCTCTCTCCTCTGGGTTGTCCTCGGCCTCCTGCCTCGGGGCAGGTGGCGTCCGCTTGCCGAGGCCGCCTTGTGCGCCCCCCGCCTTCCTGTGGCTGGCCCCGCCTCAGGTGCCGCCCCATGCCTTTCTTGTCTTTGTGGCGGGGTGGAGAGGAGGGGGGTCGGCAGGGGAGAAGGGGCTTGAGACTTCGGGTTGGGCTGGGGGGGTCCGGTAGGCTGTCAGACGGTTGCCCTATGTCGTTGTCGGCAACGCCGTCGCGCCGCTTCTGGCCCGGAGGTCCCCCAGGGAGGGCTCAGGGCACCCCGCCCAGCGCCTGGCTGGCCGGGTGGCAAGTCAGAAGGGGCGGGAGGGGGTGGAATTCTTCACGCTTCGTGTATCCCCACCAAGTTCGCGGTCGCCTTCTCGGCCGGCACTTGTGCTGCGCCGTTAATTATCTGCTTTCCCGTGCGCTGTGCCCCAGCCTCGTTCACACAGCCCTCTGGACTTTCCTTGCGGGCCGCGAATCAAAAAAACGTATCCCCACCAACGGCACCGCCTGCACCACGGGCTTCGCCCACTCAGGCCGCCTGAGGCCCCGCCTTCCTGTGCCCCGTCTCCCTAATTAATTAAAGCTGTGCGTAGCTCGCCTAGCTTTTAGCGGAAGAGGTTCGCTCTCGCCCCGCAGATCAAAAAAAGTGTATCCCCGCCAGCCCTGACGGCGCGCGGCTCTCCCGCTTGCGCTCGCGAACAAGGCAGTATCCCCACCAGCCGGGGGAGGCCGCAGAACCTCTCCTCAGCCCCAGCCAAGCGGCCAAGAGAGGGGGGCACTATTGGCCCCAACGTCGCCAGGGTCACTGCCCGTCTGGGTCTCCCCCCCTCCTCCGACCCAGGCCCTGGGGCCCTCCTCGGCCCCTACCAACACACGGTGGACTGCTACATCCAACAGGCTATCGCAGACGTCGGGCCCGCTTCCACAACCGCCGTCATCGTCTGCGAGCAAAATAAAGCCTTCGAGAGAGTCTCCCTCCGGTGGATGGGCCAGCTCCGGGGACAGTGGCAGATCCCCTTGTGGATGCAGCACGCCATCGAGGCTATGATCTCCAATCGCCACGTGCAGACACGCAAAGGTCGCTTCATCGGCCCCCGCAGGAAGCTGCTCCGCTCTGTCGGCATGGGGGGCACCCCGTCCCCCCTGCTGTGGGGCATGGGGTACGACCCTATCATCGATGTCGTCGCTAGCTCCTCCGGAGACTGCCCCATATACGTCGACGACCTGGCCTCTCTCGCTGGAGGTGGCCCCCACGCCCTCCCTGCGTGCCTAGCCCTCCCTCGGGCTGACCATGCTGCCGGCCTCCTGGTTGACGTGCACTGGTGCCGGGGCCTCCTGGTCCCTCCTGGCCTTCCTCGCCTCGCGGTCCTTCTCCAGGACGTTCCCATCCAGGCCACCACCAAGCAGGAGGGCACCCTTCTCACGGGCCTTCCCACCCCTCTGCTCCTGGCCCTCGTCTGCCAGGTCGCTGGAGCCGCCGCGGCCCACAGCTGCGTTCCGCGGGTCAGCCCGTGCTCCTGCTCATTTAAAACGGCGGTCGTCCCAGCAGGCCACCACGACTGGTGGAGACGCTTGCTCAATCACTCCCCTTTCGGAGCCTCCTGCGTCAAGCACGAACGGCCCTACCTCGGGGCCGCAGTCGTCTCCCGTGCTGCCGATGGCAAGCCCCCCCCCCACGAAACGGCACATTTACCCTTGCGCAGCGGGCCGCACTCGGGACAGGCACTTGGGCCAAGCCGCTGGCCAGGATGCGAGACCGCGCCACGACTCCATCTCGCCACCCTTTCCCCCTCGAGGTCCTCTGCTTCCTGGAACGCCTATCTCGCCTCACTCGTCCCCTACCCTGCCCACTGCGTGGCGCCTGACCCGCTTCAAGAGCGTACCCTGAAGGCGCAGCCTCGGGTCGCCCTCGGCCTCTCATCCCGGCCCTGGGCCCCGCCCTCGCCCTCGCCCTCGTCCTCGGCCCTCGCCTACCTACTCACCGGGCTTGGCATCCTTTTCAGGTCCCGGGGTGCCCGCGTTGCCCTGCTGCCAGTGCTCGCGCCGTCGCCGCGCGCTCCGGCGCGCTGGGCGACGTGTGGGGCCCAGCCCCGAAGAGGAGGAGGAGGAGGAGGAGGAAGAGGAGGAGGAGGAGGAGGAGGCGGAGGAGGAGGAGGAGGAGGAGGAGGAGCAGGAGAAGGGGGAGGAGGAGGAGGAGGAGGATGAGGAGGAGGAGGAGGAGGAGGAGGAGGATGAGGAGGAGGAGGAGGAGGAGGAGGGAGGAGGAGGAGGAGGAGGAGGAGGAGGAGGAGGAGGAGGAGGAGGAGGAGGAGGAGGAGGAGGAGGACCAGTGGAAACCCAAGAATCATCAACGATGTTGGAATTAACCCTCCATCCAAGCTCCCTCTTCATAGGCCCCTACAACGATTCATTTCCATTGAGGGAACTGTCTCGTTGGAAGACAACAGTCTGAATATCCTGAAGCGTGCCAAAACATCGTTCTCGGGATTTCAACGCCACGTGTCAACCTGACTGCTGCTTCTTGACGATCCAGGATCGTGCCAAAACGCCTTCTTGGGGACTTCAACACAGCGAATCAACATAACTGTTGCGCCCGCATACCTAATCCTAAAACCTTCCCCTCCCCCCCAAAAACGCCATTTCTGGTGCGTTGATCATGGGACTCCGTGCCATTCTTGCAAATTTTATAACGAATGTGCGCGGCGCGACGGCGAGAGCCACATTTGGAAAAAGGAACCGTCTTCAATCCGTGAAGCTCTTGCGTTATATATGTATATGTATATGTATGTATGTATGTATGTATGTATGTATGTATGTATGTATGTATGTATATATATATATACATATATATATATGTAACGAATGTGCGCGGCGCTAAGGCGAGAACCACATTCGGGAAACGACCCGCCCTCAATCCGTGAAGCCCTTGCAGTTTTTGAACGAATGTGCGCGGCGCTAAGGCGAGAGCCACATCTTGAAAACCACCCACCCTCAATCCGTGAAACTCTGGCATTTTTTTAAAACGAATGTGCGCGGCGCGAAGGCGAGAACCACATTTTGAAAACGAACCGCCCGCAATCCGTGAAACACTTGATTTTTTTTGGAAACGAATGTGCGCGGCGCTAAGGCGAGAGCCACATTTTGAAAAGGAACCGCCCTCAATCCTTGAAGCTCTTGCAATTTTTCTAAAGAATGCGCGCGGCGCTAAGGCGAGAGCCACATTTTGAAAACGACCCGCCTTCAATCCGTGAAGCTCTTGCAAATGTTTAAAACGAGTGTGCGCGGCGTTAAGGCGAGAGCCACATTTTGAAAGTGTCCCGTCCTCCATCTGTGAAGCGGTTTTTACTTTTTAAGCTTCAGGGTCATAAATGGTAAGGAAATCTCAGGCGAAACGCCCGGCCCGCCCTGAAAACTGGCTCAGGGGTGCGACAGGAAGGAGTTATCTACAAGGAGAAGGAATGGAGGACCAGTGTAAACCCAAGAGTCAACAACGATGTTGGAATTAACCCTTCCTCCAAGCTCCCTCGTCATGGGCCTCCCACAGCGGCTTATTTCCATTGAGGGAACTGCCTGGTTGGAAGACAAGCGTTTGAAGATCTTCTAGCATGCCAAAACATTGTTCTCTGGTTTTCAACGCCACGTATCACATTGTCTGCTGCGTCTTGACGGTCCAGAATCGTGCCAGAACGCTATTTTCGGGACTTCAACACCGCGAATCGACAGAATTGTTGCGCCCGCATCATCCAGAATCTTTTCAGAACACAATTTCTGGTACATCGACCATGGGAACCCGTGAAATTCTTGCAACTTTTGAAAACGAACGTGCGCGGCGCTTGGGCGAGAGCCACATTTTGGAAAGGAGCCGCCCTCAATCCGTGAAGCTCTTGCAATTTTTTAAAACGAATCTGCGCGGTTTGATAACGACCCGCCGTCGATCCGTGAAGCTCTTGCAAACTTTGGAGACGAATGTGCGCGGCGTTTGGGCGAGAGCCACATCTGGAAAATAACCCGCCCTCAATCCTTGAAGCTCTTGCAAATTCCCAACCCTCCTGCGTTGGGTTCTCGTTTTGAATAGAGCACTGCTCGCGCCTTCCTTCCCGCCCCCCCCCGTCCCTCTCTTCCCCCCTGCCTTCGCTCGTCGCTGCGTGCCAGCTGGGGGGCTGCGATTTGTGAAACTGTCGCCACTTTCGAGGCCTGCTGGGGGGCCCAGCACAGTGGGTACACACGGCGGACTCAAATTGTACCTCGCCGTCCCTGGGGGGCTGCGATCTGCGAAACCGTCGCCACTTTCGAGGCCTGCTGGGGGGCCCAGCACAGTGGGTACACACGGCGGATCAAATTGTACCTCGCCATCCCTGGGGGGCTGCGATCTGTGAAACTGTCGCCACTTTCGAGGCCTGCTGGGGGGCCCAGCACAGTGGGTACACACGGCGGACTCAAATTGTACCTCGCCGTCCCTGGGGGGCTGCGATCTGCGAAACTGTCGCCACTTTCGAGGCCTGCTGGGGGGCCCAGCACAGTGGTACACACGGGCGGACTAAATTGTACCCGCCGTCCCTGGGGGGCTGCGATCTTGTCGCCACTTTCGAGCAGCACAGTGGGTACACACGGCGGATCAAATTGTACCTCGCCGGGGCGATCCTGTCGCCACTTTCGAGCCTGCTGGGGGGCCCAGCACAGTGGGTACACACGGCGGAGTCAAATTGTACCTCGCCATCCCTGGGGGGCTGCGATCCGCGAAACTGTCGCCACTTTCGATGCCTGCTGGGGGGCCCACCACAGTGGGTACACACGGCGGACTCAAATTGTACCTCGCCATCCCTGGGGGGCTGCGATCTGCGAATTTGTCGCCACTTTCGAGGCCTGCTGGGGGGCCCAGCACTGTGGGTACACACGGCGGATTCAAATTGTACCTCGCCATCCCTGGGGGGCTGCGATCTGCGAATTTGTCGCCACTTTCGAGGCCTGCTGGGGGCCCCAGCACCAGTGGGTTCACAATTGTACCCGCGCCATTCCTGGGGGGAAACTGTCGCCACTTTCGAGGCCTGCTGGGGGGCCCAGCACAGTTGGGTACACACGGC